GTTACTCTGGCCTATGACCTGTTACGGTATTTACAAATCATACAGAAGAAGAAAAATAACAAGCATGAAAAATGAATATTAATTTTTATTGAAATGTACGAAAGCACCTATTGAAAGAAGCACATTGAGCTCACACTGGCTTTAAAAGCCTTCAGCCGCCCTGGGTTCTGCATCTTGATACCATATAACCAAGAGGTTGATCCAGTTGATGGGGAGGTGACTTATTTGTGAGTATGGTTAAAAGTAGTCTTTAATTTATAATAAAGAGATAAAAAAAAATAAATATTTAAAGTTAAACAGCTTTACTTCTTTAAAAAAATGGGATCTCTCAATTCGTAACGTCCCCAGGTTCTAGAATCTAGACCATCCGTTCTGGAGTGCCACACTCGAGAGCCTTAGCTCTTACTCTGAAATGGGTGTTTTTTTCAGAGCCTAAAGCTGTCAGTAAAAATGTGTCATTTTTTGTAATACTAAACTGACATCAGAGCAAAGGCATGTTATTGTATTATATGTTTTCTTTTCACACTTTGCATAGTTTAAATAAGAGCAATAGTCTGGATTTTCTTTGGCGTTTAGTTTTCTGATTCTTTTTTACATAGATCGACATTCAGAGTTCACAGTGCAGAAATCATTGGTTTAAATTTCTCAATTGCACCAAAAATTCTAACTGCAGTTATTCAAAAATATAGAGATGAGAGTGAGGTTAGTCTTTCATGGCATCACTGACCTTGAATGCCAAAAAGCGATAGATTTGTATGAATAGATTTCTTCATACTTGGAAGAAAGCTAAAATGGTAAAGCCCGAGAAGATCTGAATGTTTAACATCTGCAGCCATGCCTGGAAATCACTGTGAACTCCCAGTGCTGCCAAGGCTAAGGAGTTTTCAGGCTGTCTTTATTCAGCTCCTAGTCAGTGACTTAATTATTGCAGGACATCTTTACTGGATAAAAGTGATATTCAGGCTTATTTCTTGAGCTCCATTTATAAATTTTTCCAAATTGAAATTAGATGTTATGTTTTCTCTAGATTTCCCTCATGTTATTATGTAAAGAAAATCTTCGTTGAAGTTTGTACTGCACACTGTTAGAGTTTGGTTTTCTGAGATGGCTTTACAGTGTTGTGTTGATAGCTTCCTTACATTTAGCTGAAAACACAGTGGCATGATGTTGTATGGCCTATTTCATTCTGAATCATAGCCACTCAGATTTTCCCTCTGGAAGACCTTCACGTTTGCATTCTTTTCCTTCAAAGACACCTGAGAAATTACCTAAGCAGTAATTCTTTTTAAATTGGTCACATTATGGGCAGCACCTGTGGCTCAAGGAATAGAGCACCGGCCCCCTATACCGAAGGTGGTGGGTTCAAACCCGGCCCTGGCCAAAAAAAAAAAAACTGCAAATAAATAAATAAATCACATTAAAAAGATCTGAAACTGAATGAAAACAAATGCTAAATAAAAGTATCAAGTTAAAAAAAAAACTTCTGCATTTATCAATCACTCTACCACCTTTCTTGACTTCATTATTATAGTTTTTATAACTATAATGATTGATATCAGTGAAATAAAAGATACGGGCTAATATTAGTAAATACCTACAGTCCTGTGAGCCTTTTTTAGCCCTCATTAGATATAATGTCTTCTTTCATTAGTTTTGAAAATATTTCCCTAAAAATCCTTTTTAGAGTTGGGGTATATCCTATATTTGTATACTTTTAAACATATGTAGTTTATATACCTAAGCGATGTTGAAGAAAGTTTAATTTTAATTACTGGTAGCACTTTTGTTTTAACTTAATGCTAAGCCACTATTTAGAAAAACTGTTTGATACATTCTTAAAGGAAGTTTCTGACTTTCTAAATAAGACATGTCCTTATATAATTAGTACAGTCTATGAAATGTGTGCTCCCAAGTTTGAGCACTGCTCTCCTGTTATATAGTTACTATATAGCCCATTTATTCTATTTATTTTTCTAACATTAGTAAGGTACTTTGAATGAAGGCATTCAGACTGGAACTTTTTTCCTTTTGCCAAATACAAATTTGAAAAGTGATAAAAAGTGTTGCCATGAACTTGATTGTGCAAAACTTAAGTTAATCAGAATGCTGATGATATTTACATTTTTCTCCTTGGTAGGATTTTATATTGAGAACAAAATAGCAAGCTTTTCAATTCTACATAGACTTTTTATTTTTTATAAATTTACCCATCTTTTCTTGAGAAAACCATTTGTGATTATTATCAGAAGTGAAAAATAAGTAATACCCAGGTGTTAATTTTTTAGGAATAATCTTACTTTCTTTTGCCTTTTTTCTGGCACCTAAAAACAATGTGTGGGGAAAGATTGATTAGTTTAAGAATGTGGTTAGTTGGTATCTACTGAATGTCTTTATAAAATAACTTGATAAAAGGTTTAAAGAAAGTCTACTAAAAATAGAGGTACAGGCTTGGCACCTGTTCCTCAATGGTCAGGGCACTGGCCACATACATAAACCAGGGCCAGCGGATTTGAACCCGGCCAGAGCCTGCTAAATAACAATGACAACTACAACAACAACAATAACAAAAATAGCCAGGCCTTGTGGCAGTTGCCCGTAGTCCCATCTACTTGGGAGGCTGAGCAAGAGTTTAAGGTCACTTAAGCCCAACAGTTTGAGATTGCTGTGAGCTGTGACACCACAACCAGAGCTCTATGAAGGGCAACATAATGAGACTCTGTCTCAAAAAAAAGAAAAGAAAAGAAATACAACAAAAATAAATCTGATTTAGGTATATAATATATTTATATGGCTACAAAGATACAAAAGTTGTTAACTGTACAGTAGATGGTTTTCTTTATTAAAATATGCCATGTGTTACGAAAATGAATCTGCAATAAGATTTTCTAAACAGGCCAGGCACAGTGTCTCACACTTGAAATTCTAGGACTCTGAAGCCAAAGCAGGAGGATTGCTTGAACTCAGGAGTTCAAGATGCGCAGAGCAAGAGCAAGACTAGAGCAAGAGCAGCTCTAGTAAAAACAGAAAAACTAGCCAAGCATGGTAGCAGGCACCCATGGTCCCAGCTACTCAGGAGACTGAGGCAGTAGAATTACTGGATCCCAAGGAGTTTGAGGTTGCATTGAGCTGTGGTAATGCCAGTGTACTCTACCCAGGGGGACACAGTGAGACTCTGTCTCCAAAAAAAAAAAAAAAAATTCTCTGAATTAAAATAGTATATTAATATTCTAAATATTTACTATAAATCAGGGTTTTCATTTTAATATTAATTACTTGTCTTTTTCTGTTGACCCTAGAGTGTAGAATACAATTAATATTTTAACCTAAATGTAGCAGTGTTTACAAGTTACATTTAAACTCTACAGTTCAGTAAAGCTGCTTTGCATTTAACTTTAAATATAACATGTATTTGGACATTTGTAGCTTTAAACCTTTCATCCTTAATTTCTTATAAATGTGAAAAATGTGATTTTTGGTGTTGTCTTAATTTTTTTAATCATGGATCAAGCATCTTTAAACTTATCTTTTATTCCTTTTTTTCAGGTAGACGTATACATTATTTTCTTGGGTCTAGGTGCTTTAATTTAGAATGGGAATTGACACTTCTCAGGACAGACTGGGATGATCTTTATTTAAAATAGTACATAAGTATTCTGACATCATTAAATTCATTTTTCATGTAATATTCATTTCTATGAAAGTTTTTGTGGTTTAATAATCACTGTGCATACCGTTAAATAGTCACGGATTCATTTGCATGAGGTATGTGAAAGTAATGTGCTGAAATGAAAATGTAAATCTAGGACTTCCTGTATGTTTGGAATGCTTATTATATTTTTACGTTTCCCCTGATCTCTACATTTCTATATCCATTCAAAGTTATCTGCTATTTAAATTATGCATCTTTTTAAAGATGTAGTTGTCAAGCAGTTTTTACAGAGAGGACATGAATAAGTTGTCATGTATACATTTCCTATGTATTTGTATAAGTACATTATGAAACGTAATTTTTCAAGCTAGAATGCAGTTAGGACACATTACTTTTATCCCTTCCTCGAGGAAAAAGTGTGCCATTTTATAAACATGCCGTGATCCCCCATTAAATTTTTCCTCTTATATATTTGGGTAAATCATGACTGTTGCCTACAGAGGCTGTGTTACAGTCTGTAGAGCGACTGACTGGGAAGGCCATGGAAGGCTTTGTAAGCACAGTCACAAGTGAGGATGTGTTTGAATGAAAGACCCTTGGAAGAAGCTGAAGAAAGTGTGTCTACACTGAGCAATCATTCCTTTCAGTATAACCATACACCTATGTTGACTAACACACACAAACACTTTATGAAATTTGTCCGTAGTTTGTGACATAGGCGTTCAGTATTATGAGATTTTTAATGATTTTCCTCTTTTCAATTAAATCCATCCTTTTCCTTCATTATCTTTTAGTTCTTAAGACAGAGGAACAAGATAAGTCTGTATTGTGTATGTGTGTTTATATATTATGTATATGTATACAATACGTTATAGGCTTCGTTAAGTAAGATGTATTGGCATTTGAGTGTACACATACACGGTGTGTGATGATGTGTATGCTGTAAAGGACAGCTTTGACTGTTGAACTATGCTTGATTCGAATATTTGATTCGATACAGTTGCTATGATTGTATATGTCAATTTTTCATTAAAATAATGTGCGTCTTTAAGATGGAAAATGTAATGTGCTGTGTTAATTTTGTTTGACCAGCATATTATTTTGTTTGCCAAGCTTAAGTTAACATCTTTATTATGTATCTTGAATATTATATCACTGTTAAGTATTTTCCTACATTTTGTAATGACCTGTGCTTGAATTAAACTTCTAAAAACTAAAGAACCGTTAAAACCCACTTTTTGTTACATAATTATATATATATGTAATATAAATCTGAAATATTAACTGTAGGCAAAATAAATCTTTTTCAAATATGGTATTTTAAGTTGCTGTGTGACGTCTTTCTTTGTAGCTGTCACAAGATGAATGTAGAGGCACATTGTACAAATACAGACCGGAAGAAGCAGATACTGATGTGAGTATCCGCGGGGGGTCTCGTCTGCACTCTGTCCTGTTCTCTGCCAAACACTGGAGAAGGCATGGACCAAAAGAACCCACCCTTCCGTGCCTTTGAAAAGGACATCACATAATTGCGTATTTTCCTCTTTTGTGCTTAAATTATTACTCCCTCACTCTGCTCCCTACTGTTTTCCCATAATTAGCATTTGAACATAGTAAGCATGACTTAAATGACGATAAAAACTTTTTAATTTTTTTAAAAAAGTTATAGAGGGCTGGAGACAAAAGAAAAATTGCTATGCCTCATAGAGTAAATGTTAGCTTTTATAAATTCTGTCCCTGTTTTTGAATTAAACTTGGTCTGTTTTAATCCCGTTTTGGAGTGCTGATTGGCCATGCATTCTTCCCTCATTTCCCCTGGTTTTAGTCTATTGAGTTGTTCCTCCTCCTCGTTTCAACACCTGTTTGATGTAGAATGAGCCTTGTCCGACAAAGATAAGGTAGTTATTTTAATGGCAAAGGAGATAAACCCTCAGATTATTTGCAGAAGTCAGTATGCCTCAAAGTTTGGGACATATTTCCAATTTGTCTTGTATTTTCATTTTGAGACATTACTTGAATCAGTTTGAGTATTGCAGTTTTGCGTACTTTCTCCTATTTTCATAAGTAAGAAGATAGAGTAATACTAAGAATTTAAAGCATCAAAACTACTGAAAGTGATTTTTTTCTCTGTTCGCATATTTTTATTTGTATTATTGCAATTAGAAGCAATCTTTCACTTGTATACTTTTCTAAGAACCTAATCACATAATTTTAAAAATACATGAAAATGATTGCTTCTTGGCCTCTTGGGTAAGATCATGTGTAATATCTGTTCTTAGCAGTTTAAAAATGTATGAAAACAGAACTCAGTTAGCGTTTTAATTAAAGGCTACATGTTATCACTTAACCTATCTAGCAGGTTGTAGGGGAGAATCTTTGCATGCATATTTAAGCATTCTATCTATTTTAGATGTGTTTCTTGCCTCCAATTACAGGAAAAATAAAAGTTACTAACAAGATATTTCTTCTCTTATGACCTAGGCCAAGTTAAGCCGATTATGTGAACAAGACAAAGTGGTACATGCTCTGGAAGAGAAACTTCAGCAGCTCCACAAGGAGAAAGTAGGACAATTATGTTTATTTAAAAGCAATGTTACTCCACATGATTATTATCAGGACACTGATAACTAAAGTAAAAAGAATTAATGCAGTGATGCAGAACATTAAGTGTAATTCTTTTTATTATAATAGTACACGCTTGAACAAGCTTTGCTGTCAGCCAGCCAGGAGATAGAAATGAACGCAGATAACCCAGCAGCCATTCAGACGGTGGTGTTACAGAGGGACGACTTACAGAATGGACTGCTTAGCACGTGTCGAGAGCTCTCTCGAGCCACTGCTGTAAGTAGACTTTTTCCCCTTACTAAAAGTCACTGAAGGGCAGTGCCGTGGCTCAGTGGTTAGGGCACCTGCCCCATATACCAACGGTGGCGGGTTCAAACTCGACCCCAGCCAAACTGCAACAAAAAAATGGCCGGGCATTATGACGGGCACCTGTAGTCCCAGCTACTTGGGAGGCTGAGGCGAGAGAATTGCCTAAGCCCAGGAGTTCGAGGTTGCTGTGAGCTATGACACCACGGCACTATACCAAGAGGGCGACAAAGTGAGACTCTGTCTCTTAAAAAAAAAAAAAAATCACTGAAATACTATGTCTTTAGCATTGTTCTTTATTTATTATAATATTAGGGATTAGTGTGTTCCCATCTAGTGGCTATAATGTAAGGGTTTAGGACACACCTCCTGGATACCGGACACAGCTACAACAGACACTTTACCTAAACAATTCTAACCTAATTGTACCTTCATATTCATCTGAAATTAAAGAAGAAAAAAATCATTTTAAAAAAATAAATTATTTTAGTGTGTTGGTCTTTAGGAATATTAAAACAAAGAATCATCTTTATTTCTACTATTAGTAATCATTTTGCTGGGGGCACCCATAGCTCAGTGGTTAAGGCACCAGCCACATGCTCTGGGGCTGGTGGGTTCAAACCCAGCTCAAGCCTGCTAAACAAGAAAGAAAACAAAATAGCCCCACGTGGTGGCAAGCGCCTGTCGACCCAGCTACTCTAGAGGCTAAAGCAAGAGAATTGCCAAAGCCCAAGAGCTGGAGATTGCTATGAGCTATGACACCATGGCACTCTACCAAGGGTGACAAAGTGAGACTCTGTCTCTGAAAAGAAAAAAAAAAGAGGCTCAAGCGGC